TAAATAACCAAATTCACTAGAAGCAAATGTTTAGCACTTCTATTGACGGTGTGAAAATAGTTGAAATCGGGTGGCAACTCCGCCCACTCCCATATAACGGTACTGTTAAAACTACTAAAAGCGCGATAAATCAAGCACTAAACACGCAGAGACATTATCTCAATTTTATCTCTGAGATGGTATAAGATGACTTTATAGGAACCGCGTTCAAAATTAGACAGTGGGCGTGGACAGCCCACTTTAGGTGAAAACCCATATCTGGAGATCTGCTTAACCGATTTCAACCAAATTCGGTGCGTAACGTTCTTTTCATGTTTCTATGTCATAGTGCGAAAATGGGCGAAATCGGATTACACCACGCCTATTTTCCATATGACACCATTTTAAATACCACTTGATTCTTTCACTTTCCACTATGCAAATCAAGCAACAATGATTATATCGGCGTAAAACTTTGCGTGAATAATACGTTTAAAGTATGCCACCTTGTGACCAAAATTCTCTAAATCGAACCAAAGTGTTCAAGCCCTAGGTACTGAATATGTGGACCCCAGTACCTATAGTTGACTTTTTACCGTAAATATCGGCCAATCCACAAAGAAATCTCAAACGAGTATACCATTTGACTTTGCGAGATATAAAATATTCGGTACATCCGAACTTAGCCCTTCCTTACTTGTTAAATTAAAATTAAGAAATAAATTATACCATAAGTAGTACATGTATGCTGGGAAATTCGTGGATCGATTTCACACATTTTCGGCATTAAATTGTTGTATTATCAATATTTTACGTTTATATAAAGCCAAACGGAAGTTTGAATTTTTACATAAAGTATGTTGGAGCTAGGGTCAATATATACCCGATAATGGGTATAGGGCGGAACCAAAATTTACTTTTGTAATTCGCAAGAATCAAATGCCAGGAAATTCCTTCAGGTGTGGCAAAGTTGAGAAAGAATTAAACATCCATTATTAATGAAATCGTGATTAAATTACAATCAAATTTGGTATCTTCTTGACTTATATTAAAGGCCATAAACTTAGTCTAAGTTTTATTGCTTTATTTTAGTTTGCGTCAGCGAAAATGATATTAAAAACATCTTGAATTGAGATATACATAGGTATGAATGTGATATTAACTCGACTAAAGTGGCTAAATTTTATATTATAAGCTTGTGGAAAACGTCAACCAGAGAATCGGAATTCATTATAAGAAGGTGTGAGGTTTAGATCAAGGTATATACTATTTTCATTCTAATTCAGCGTCAAAGCACATAATTTTAATCCGCGTGGCACTGCCCACATTTAGTGAAATCACATATCTCCGGACTATTCTTATTATCCTGACATTTCTATATTACAGTGCGAAAAAGGCCGAAATCGGATTACACGCCTTCTTCCTAATTTTAAATTCGAATGATTCTTACACTTTCAGTATACAAATCAAGCACCAATGAATATATTCGGATAAAACTTTGAACGAATAGTGCTTTTGAGGTATACATCTCAAGTCTAAAAATTGTCATAATCGGGCCATAACTCTTCAAGCCTCCAGATACCGAACCTGGGGCTGTTGGCAACTTTTACTGGAAATATCTGTCCGCTGACTTTACTCCACATATGTTGGTGATGGTATGTAAGGTACCTTAGTGAAACTCAGAGAGAATTATATTCAAAATTAATTGAACGTTTAATATTGAGTATCGAAAATATGTGAATTTAGTCTACGAATTACTCCCCTTTCATGCTACATATAATAATTTTCGTCCTCCTAACAAACCATATGCCGAACATTTCTTTCAGTGTGTCTGTTATACATTTATAAAATTGCTTGAAAATATGTGTATGCTAAGGCATACAGCAGTTTCAGAACTAATGCATTCGCACATGCTTTGTCTTTCTAATGATCCCGAATTTTCACCTGACCATTCAGGGTGGACAAGTTTTTTTTAAATTATGTGGTTTACGCTGAATATGATTGAAATTGGTCTAGACTTTGGTCAACCTTATATTTAAGGATGGTTTGAAAATAATTTTCGTTGACACGAAGTAAATATGTAAATAAAGCTAAGTGAGTATATGACCTTCAGTAAGTTAATAAGATAACAAATTTGATTACCATTATACAAATGGATTACAATCCATTCACAATTTCGTCGAACAATGAATGTTGAATTTTTCGCAACATTTTTAAGTTTGTATTAAATGTATTTCTTCGACTTTGAACTTTGCAAGTTGCAGGAGTTAAAATGTTCGGTTACACCCGAACTAAAGCCTTCCTTACCTGTTTTCAATACCATTGATATTACAAATAATGGATTCCCGTTGTGGATCAATGTTAATATTGTAACGGATTTTCTGTAAATCGTCTACCTTGTACACTGTTAAGTTCGATCACTGGATTGTTAAATAAAAGTCCCAATTAATGGCTTTATTTCTAATTCAAACAACTTTACGCTTTACTACTCATTATCAGAATTTAGAACTTCTTACTTATACCTTAATTGCTCTTTACACAATCTGGCAGCCCTTCATAGTAGATTTTACAAAACTTCGTCACTAAACATACTGCCAACTACGAATTTCGTATAGTTGATTGAGGTAATTTATGGTCAATTTGATTTTGTTCTACCATCCGTGTTCTTCACAATTTTATTTATAAAAAGTACGTTGGCACTCGGAGACTGCGCGTAAAGCTATTGCATAACATTTTTATCAACTTATGCAATTATATTATAATTATTTATTTTATTTTCTGCAGTGTTTTTTCTTTGATATTAATTCAAATTCAAAACATTGAATGTTATTTGTGTTTTGAACACACCTTTCGATTATGTTTGGAAGTGTCTCAAATAAACTCTGGGCCGCAATATTCAATATATCTTTCAGAAACACCTAAAACCATAAAACAACATGACGAGTCCAAATAGTCCCAATTCTATGGCTATTTGAACATCTATAAAAACTATAGATTATCCGTTAACTCTTAGACAAAAGAAAACTAAGAAGGTAGATGCTGAACCGGTTAACTTATTAAAAAAATAAAAGGATTTGCTACTTAAATAGAATACATTTTAGATACGATTTTGTGTATTAATTGTGCCAAATAGAACCATTTTATGGTTATTTAATCATAAAATTTTAACAAAATGAACGATATTAAGAGTTTGATCATCGAATTTCGCCTACATTTGTGATAATAATAAAATAATAGAGTACTCACTCATTTTCTTTCACTATTTTTCCATGACATTCTTCATTAATAAATGTTTATTCATATTTAAAACACTTTATACACATATTTTACGCGTACTCCCCGAACATGCGTTTGCCTACAAGCCTCTTTTCGCGACGATGGCAAAAGCTAAATATCATAAATTGAACAATTTTCTGACGTTACTTCTGGAAGCGAAAAGTGTCATTGACAAATATGGCAACATAGTTCTGGTCGATTTAAAATATTTTACCATTCACAAATATATATTTCCATGGCTCGCAAAATCGATATATAATATAATATATGCATGCTCATACATACATTTCGCATGAATCAATAAGTGTACATATTTACATACATATGTTGCATGTAGACAGATATACAAACATTACGCGTGTTTATTTTCGTTACGGAATTTCTTGCTTCAGTCTCTGTTCTCAAAGCCCGCGATAAAAGGTATACAATAACTTAATAATAATGTTACTAGTATTATGATTCCGAATACTCAATCATTTATTTTTATTAATTAAATTTCACATTTTTATTTGCCATTCAAAAAATTGTCTCTTTAATATTATTATTTTTGAATTACCCTGGTGTCTCTTCAATTGATGTGTTATGCTTGAGATATGCGAAATGCGATACGCCTAAAAGTATGCAAACGCTGAGCGGAATTTCTTGAGTGACCGAGCTCAAAGCCTCCGCTAGAAGCTATGCAATAGCTTAAGAATGTGCTATTCTCTGAGAAATATATGTCTATAAATTTAGAGATATATTTTCTGTGAAAATGCGGTTAATTTTTAAATACACTAGTTGTTATTTCATCTACAACTTTAATAAACTCGATATTAAAAAAAGTTTTTAAAATTTGATAGATTTAAATAGTTCTGGTAAGACATTTTGGTAGAAAAAGAATATTTAATGTTGGCAACAGTGCTTAGTGCCTTCTCGAATATTGAAACAAATATTGTACTACTGACAACAACCAAGGAGGTGGCCCTTTTGGCCCAAGACAGCCGGTTTTACGCTACCAGAATTGATCCAGATTTTATACGGACAAGGGCTGTTTTTCGGCGACCTAACCCTATTTGGATCGATGAGAATAAGGCTAAGATTTTTATCACTGGAGCAGTTCCTAGCGGCAGCGTTGCTCCGCATCCTCCTGACCCGTGCTGGCATTGAGTCCAACCATATCTCGGTAAGGTGTAACATTTGCAATGAATGGAACCATCTTAAGACCTGCATCATCCCGCATCAATCTTCGCACAACGGCTGAGTGGAGTGTGTCGTACGTTGCCCCGTGCTGCAGGAGTATGCCCTCGTTGTTGTTGTAGCGACTCGACTGTTATAGGAACGGAGTCTGTTCTCGTAACACCCTACAGTGGCGTCCCCAAACAACACCTTAAAGCGGTAACCGCCCCTGCGGGTTCTACAGCTACAACAACTCCCACCTACATGCCACTCCCTCACTCCCAAGATCAACCCTAGACTCCCGCTCAAATTTGACTATAGCAATTTAACGGAACGGACTCTAGAGTAAGATCAGTTAAACAGCCGCTCAGATCTTATGAGGTATGCTGGTTTCAACGTTATATGTAAGGATCGCGAGCCAAATAATGGTGGAGGCAAGTCTTCATACTGCACAACACTGTGCCATATCTTCTCATCGATGGCAATATCGACCACGGGGATACTAGTGTTGAATGTCAAGATATAGATTTCCGGTCAGGCGATATGGAGCTTGAAATATTTAAATCCTGGCTGTGTAGCAATCGTAGGGAATGGAGCTGGCGGAACAGATAGACGATTCGACATTCTGCACAATGAATGGTGAAGCCCCCACCAGAATTATGAGCACTTTTAATAGATCGCTGAATATTACCATCGCTAGTGGTGGTCTGATAAATAACATAACCTGGCGACCCATGCGAACTCTCACATCAGACCATCTGCCCATAATTATCTCGATCGAGAAACCTACCGGATTTACTTTTCTGGACAACCACACCTTCGTTAACTTTAACAAAGCTAACTGGGTCGGCTTCATAGAATTTACCGAGAGCACCTTCACCGCACTATCCATTTCTACGGACGTAATCATTGGCGAACGTCAATTCTGCAAGGTGATCGCAGCAGCTACTGCTCGCTCCATCTCGGCTGAAAGACTCGGGGAACTCCGCCCTGATTTCCCAGCTGAAATAGCTGTTTTAGCAAACGAGCGCGACATCTTACGCCATGCCGATTCCTGTGATCCCCGAGTAAGGGATCTCAATTTAGAGATTCGGCACATGTTGATGTTAAAGGAACTAACCAACTTTCTCAACCTGTCACACAACGCTACTTGAGGACATAATCCACGCTCCCTTTAGGACTGAAGAGGTAGACTATGAACTACCTGAGCGGTCACCAATCACCCGAATTGTTTCGACAACTAAATTCGCAGCAACCAGAGTCGCAACAAAATCCTCAAGTTGCTAGCCGCCAGCTCATGGGAAAAACACAAAGAAATGTTATTGGCAGCAAACAAGGCAATATGTTCGCCTGGATGTAGTGAAACGCAGGCGAAGGATCTTCAGACGTGTTAAAACACTGAACTCTGGACTATCACAGGATGCCTATACAGCGAGGCCCGTATGCTTCTAATTAAGGAACGTAACGAGCTCCTCTTCAAGCACCTTTTGCTGGGAGGTTTTCGCATAAACCATCCTTGCAGTCGTCTGCATGAAGCAGACTTACCGTTAGATTACCTCGATGACAACCAACCTGTTCATTACCACCCAAGCGGGGATTAGATAACCGCTACAACAACAACAACAGTATATAGTAAAATAATAATGGATCTTCAAGGGGAAGACTTCAAACAAAATGTCAAATATCTACCTTCCGCTTTTTTGCTCTTCATTCAATGCTTTATAAAAAGTGTTACAGTGATCGGATTTAGTTAAAATATGCGCCGTTTTGTTCGATGATCTGTTTCCATCTAGACGGCAACTTCATAATACCTTCCTCGTAGAAGCCCCCCTCCTTATTTGCGAAGAATTCGGACAGCCACTTTTCACAAGCCTCTTTTGAGTTCAACTTCACACCACCAAGGGCATTCGCCATGGACAGGAACAGGTGGTAATCACTTGGCGCTACGTCCGGGCTATATGGTGGATGCGATAAAACCTCCTATCCGAGCTCCCGTAGCTTCTGACGAGTCATCAACGAAGTGTGTGGTCTGGCGTTGTCCTGGTGGAACACTACACCCTTCCTGGTGGCCAATTCTGGACGCTTCTGGTCGATCGCCTGCTTCAAGCGGTCCAGTTGTTCGCAGTAGAAGGTAGAATTAAGCGTCTGGCCATATGGGAGCAGCTCATAGTGGATGATTTCCTTCCAATCCCACCACACAGCAAAACCTTCCTGGCCGGTTCAAAATGGTTTGGTGACTAACTCCCATCTCCTGGGCGATGTCACGAGATGCCATATGCCGGTCTAACTCGATGTATTCCATGATTTGATCGGTATTTGTCGTCACAGGTCTTCCGCCGGCTGGCTTATCCATGGTGTCGTTTTCACCGGCTCTGAATCGTCGAAACCATTCCTCCGCGGTTCGAAGTGATAGAGTACCATCCCCCAAAACACCATTAATCTCACGGAACGTTTCTCTAGCGGATTTGCCTTTAACGAAGGAAAACTTTAAAATAGCGGGAATTTCGGCGTTAGTGAACTCCATGTTTACACGTCTATAACTGTTGAACGCAATATCCAAACTAATCATGCATAGCGTTGTTTTGTAGGTTATGTCAAGACCTTTCAAATTATGTATAGTGTTGCCAGATACGAGCTCTGTAGCGCTTTGTACATAGCCGCGAAATTCAAAAGACAAAAAAGCGGGGAGATATTTGACAACCTTATATTTTATGTCAAGACACATAATTCGTCGAAAAGAAACAACATAATCCAGCTCTAAAATTTATTAATGAGGTCCTTTATAATGATAGCAGAGAAAGAGAAAAGAACAAGGTACATACATCGATGTGAGTTATCCCAATGAAACTCATGGAACATATTTTCCTGGCACTACGCCATACGGTAACAAAAATGTATAAAATTGCGTCAATACTTTCTCTAGCGCCCATATACCTAATATAATTCAACCATCTTTTCTAAATTTCCGTCCGCGATAATATATAACCCAATAATGTCCTGTGATAATCACATTATTTCAAACACGTTTGGAAATTACTGCACTAATTTTACATCCTTGCAATTAAAATATTTCTGTAAACACAATCAAATAATGTTAATTTTCAATGTTATTGGCAACCTTTATTTACATTTTTCATATGATGTTTATTCTGAAGCCAGATTTCTCTGGTATTTTCTTGATAGCATGGAAGTAAAACCGAGCGGTATTATAAAAGCATTGTCAAAGCAATTGAGCTGGCTTGCATTCTTGTATTCTTCATCATACATACATGAGAGCATTACAAGAGAGTTGGACTGTTTTTCTATATTGCTAAATTTATTTACTCTTGTACTGTAGTCTCAGGAGAGTTGTTTTACTTTATTATAGTTCGTAGATTTTTTCTGATTTCATGAAATTTTTCATTTCGTTGCTGTGCTGCTGCTCCCATTTTTAGTCTGAAGAGAATTATCGACACGACAAGTGGTGAATTGTAATTGTCCGTTCCACTGTGGTGAGGTGCTGGTAGGGCAGAAGCGAATTAATTTCTACAATATATTTTGTAAAAATTTGGTTAAATCAAATGTTTGAATACTTATAAATAAAAGAGTCGTCATAAAATAATTCTAATAAATTCAAATAAATTGGTAGTACAACAGTTTTAATTTGATATTTATTAAAAATGTATTGGTATTGTGTTAACCGTATTCAAATATTAAATTCAGTGGAAAACTTCCCAGGCAGCAACTGCAAATTATTTTTAGCCTAGATGGAAGTCTGTTTGGCTTTGCGAAAGCGTGCTCTTAAAAGTTCGGGCAAGTTCGGCAATCTTTATGGACGCTAATTTTAACTGCACGAATTCGACACGTTTGTCGACAAAATAAATACATACAAGCCCACCACATATGTTCATATAAAATTCAACATATGTACATCTACAAATGTATATCATAAAAATTGATGAGAATGGGAATACATGTTTATATATTTATACCAAATAAAGTCCATTAAAAAATCGCAAAACAAGAAATCATGTGTGTTTGAAGTGTAGCTATAATCTGCCAAACAAATAATTCTGACCAATTACAAAATACAGGGCCAATCAATTTATTGTAAATCGGAATAGCAGTGAAGTGTAAATATTGTTACATATGTATATATATGTACATAACCCATTAAGTATAAAATACAAAAATAACTATGTGGTATTCTAAAACAGTATATATATATTATACTACATCCGTTGTAAAGCCAGCAATTTATGAATGATATTTTTATATTCACCTAGTAAATTTAAGAGATGTGTTGAAAAAAAAAATTGTTCATTCGTCGACATTAATGTCTTCAAAATAGTCCCCATTTAAAATTATGCACTCATGCCAGCGCTTCTCCCAATCGTCGAAACAATTCTAAAACTTGATTTTGGGATAGGCTATCGCTCTTTCAGCGATACGCTTTTAATGTCATACATGCTTGTAAAACGACGGCTCTTTAATATTATCTTTATTTTTGAAAATAGGCATACCCATGTCTGGCAAATATGGAAGATGGGGCATTGTTACAGTATTTTTTTGGCCACGAATTCATTTTATACATTTCTTTTAACAAATTAAAATCGCCAAGCTCATAAAAACGCGTCCAACATTAGCAGTTTGTACTCTACAAACACACCGCTACATGAAAAATAGTATTCCACTCTAATAGTTACATTGGTTAAATTTTAGCACAGTATCCTTCGGAAATGGGAATGGGTTGATAGAAGAGGTTCTCCAGATTAAGAATATTTGTATATAACTGTCGCTGACTTATGGGTTATGAGTTTTTTGTATTTCCAGTTCATAAATTTAACACTTTGTGTAGTAATGTGGATTTTTTTCTGATTTCTATTGAGTTTCACACTTCTACCGTGAATTTTTCATATATTAAAAAGTTTGACATTTCTACTGTGAATTTTTTATATATTAAAATTTCACTTAATTGTTTCTACATATTTATTTAGCAATTATTATTGCAAAAATAGCCTTAATATAATATTTAATATTTTGGTCATTTATTCTATTAATTCACACAATAAAAAGGGGTTGCATACTAACAAATAATAGGTCTTACCATATCTACATATTTTGCAAACGAACCAAAAGAAATAGAGAAAACAAATTATACCCCTTTTGCAAGAAATAAAAAGTATCCTATTCGTTTTTTGCGTGAAACAACTTTTCGCATTGGTGGCCTTCGGCCGCGCTTAAAAAATATACGTCGTCCAACATAGGGTTTCATCAAGAGAACTGATATAATTCTGAGTTCTGTATTTGCGGTATATCTTTATTTTTCATTTATTATTATTTGCATGCAAACCTTTTGTTATAGTGTAAATGAATTTCAAATTTAAGAAAAGCTCGAATTATACTATATATTAGAATAGCATCCCTCGAATTCGGGGTAATGGCTATGATAGAGGAGGTTTTCCAGATGAATCAAATATATACATTTAGCTGCCGTTGACTTATGATTTTTGAGATATTTGCATTTGAAGCTCAAACATTCAACTGATTAAAGCGCGTGTTTCTTTGATTTATAATGAATTTTACACTTATATTTTTAACTTTTACCATATATCCAATAACACTTCACTAATACGTTTATACATGTTGTTTTGTGTCCATTTGTGCAAAATAACATATAGCTCAATATTTAACTTTGGTTCAAATTCATACAATAACAAAATGGTTGCATGCAAACAAAAAATAAGTGTTACCATACTTTTTGCAAGCGAATAAAAATAAATAAAAAATAAGGATTATACCGTCAATACAAAATTCATAATCGTTAATGAGTAACGTAAACTCTTTCAAAATTTCCTTTGTCTTCGTAAATCCCGGTGTTGGATCGACCAGCGTTTTTTTTTTTTGGAGCGCGGCCGAAGGCCGCTAATGGAAAAAGGAGTGAAATGCGAAAGAACTGAGCACATCCCGGTGTTGGACCGAGCAGGGTTATTCTTTTAAAGCGCGGCCGAAGTGAAGGCCGTCAATGCAGAAAGGAATTCTAAACGAAAAACTAATGATGTGTTATTCATTGGGGTGTTATCTGTTTTCTTTATTCCTTTTGGTTCGTTTGTAAAATATAAATAAGATAACACTGATTATTTGTTAGAATGCAACCCTTTTGTTATTGTGTGAATAAATAGAATTTAACAAAAGTTAAATATTGAATTAAAAGTTATTTTTGCACCATTAAAAAAAAATAATTGTGTAGAAACAAATTAGTGAAGTGTTAGTGGATATAAAATCTCCAAACATACTCAAATTTGTGATATGCTACTCTAAAATTTATCCTTTGAATTAAATATGTAGAAACAATTTAATGAAGTGTTTGTGGATATAAAATAAATATTTTAAAAACCATACGTGAGCGTCATCGTAGTAAGTTTCTGAACGGTTAACTATCCCTAGCACTCTCTTGAAACTTAACTATCTCCTGAAAAAGAGTTTCTTAATCCAAACTAGAAAGAAAGTTCTAAGTTCGGGTGTAACCGAACACTTTATACTCTCGCAAGGAGCAAAGCCCGGGAAATTACTTCAGGTATTGGCAAAATTTTATAGTATAGGAAGTATTGGTCCGATTCAACCCATTTTTGACACAAAGACATACTAGACAATTTTTAGTCTCAAGGTGGCATACTTTAAACGCATTATACGCAAAGTTTTACCCCGATACAATCATATGGAATTTAAAATGGTGTTATATGGGAAATAGGCGGGGTTGTAATCTGATTTCGCATTATAACATAGAAATATGAGATGAATGTTGTGTATCGAATTTGGTTGAAATCGGTTAAGCATATCCCAAGATATGGGCTTTCACCTAAAATTAGGCGGTGTCACGCCCACTGTATAATATTGAACGCGATTCCTATAAAGTCATATCATACCATCCCATAAATAAAATTGTATGTCTCTGGCGTGTTTAGTGCTTTATTTATCGCGCTTTTAGTAGTTTTTAACAGTACCGTTAAAAATTGGCGGTACCACACCCACTTTAAAAAAATTAAACTGCAGATAACCCTCCCTAATGTGATCCTGTGTATCAAATAACCTTCTTGTATCTTATTGTGTAGCTTAGTTATGGCAATTTATTATATTTATATACCGTTGTCAATTAAGGGGCATGGCCACTGTAGAATTTTCAAAAAATCAATGCTTTATAATCATGAAAATAAGTTGATTTGTAGCGAGGAAAAAGGTTTCAAACAACTTTAAGCGTATATACCAAGCCCACCTCCGGCTCAACTATAGTTATATGTTAAACTTTAAACGTGTTTTTTCCAAAACTTTATTTTTCCAATTGGCGAGACAAATATCTTTGGCAATATTTATCCAATCGACTTCAGATTTTCAGATTATCTTTAGAATTACATTTTTCATAGTAGAAATATGTAAGGAAATTTCAATTGATTCAAAACAGTTAGGAAATTATAGAATAAGAATTATATTTTTCTGTTCAAATACCTATAAGGTTTGTAGGAATCGATGTTTTAAAATTTTTCCACGTACTTCTATGGGCATTGTTATGTAGATTAACGACGTTTCATTTATTTTGCCCCGTGACTACAATTGTGGATGCTAAACGTATCGCCGCGGCGCGCTTAAAAGAGAAACGATCCAAGAGACATTGCACGCATAGCCAAAAACAATAACTGAAAAAAATAATTTTTCCACTGCTTGAGGTTCAAACTTATTAAGTGTTTCATTAGTTCTGTAAATAAATGAGTATATCGCGAAAAAAATAATCAATCTGCAACATGATTTTATACCCGCTACAGTGGCCATGCACTTTAACGTCATTTAGTATAAATGCCACGGGAATCTGACAATAGTGTATCAGTTCATCACCCCATATGATTAATATCTAATAACTACTCTGAATCAGTGTTCACATCTTGAAGTGAGGCGATTATCGTACCAGTAGCGTAGAATTATCGTACATGAAGCGAAATTATCGTACTTTTAAAAAGAGTGACAAATATAACTAAGAAATATTTTATTTTATCTCAATATATACCATGCAACATTTTACATATAATCTTCAATTCAATTCAATCTTAGAATCTTAAAACTATTAGTTATATTTGTTTCATATAATTTCTATTAATACTTAAAATTCCTCATTTGGCATTAAAATACTATTAAACTCTTCCAGATCCGAGTCATCATACAAGTCACAAAGTTTTTTATTCGTAGATTCTGATGTAGTTTTTCTTTTATACATTAAGGATTTGTTCAGACGATCATACTCGCTTTGCGATGGTTCATATGTTGTGCAATTAACTTTACTTTTTACTCTTTGTTTGGCTAAAAGAATACCATTAACAGTTGAAACCATCATATTATTTCGAGTTTTAGTTTTAATTAAATTAATGTGGCTAAATATGCGCTCACTGTCAGCATTCGAATGTGGAAGCGAAATTACATTTAACACAAATTTGGAAACATTTTTAAATGACATTCCCTGATCACCTTCTCCGCAGTCCATTATTTTTGCCCAAAAACTATCAATTGGATCTGTAATTTTGATGATTGTCATTTTTCACTTTACAGCTACAGAGTGTAAATGATAGTTTATATATAGTTTATAGCCATGGAATTAAAGTTTTCGATTGACATACTTACTCATTAATATAAAAACACAATCATTTAATTCAATTTTAGTCGTGTTGAGCTTCCAGTTACAGTTTTTATACTCTCGCAACCTGTTGCTACAGAGTATAATAGTTTTGTTCACCTAACGGTTGTTTGTATCACCTAAAACTAATCGAGTTAGATATAGGGTTATATATATATAAATAATCAGGATGAAGAGACGAGTTGAAATCCGGGTGACTGTCTGTCCGTCCGTCCGTGCAAGCTCTAACTTGAGTAAAAATTGAGATATCTTTATGAAACTTGGTAGACATGTTTCTTGGTACCATGAGACGGTTGGTATTGCAGATGGGCGTAATCGGACCACTGCCACGCCCACAAAACGCCATTAATCAAAAACAAATAACTTGCCATAACTAAGCTCCGCAATAAGATATAAGACTGTTATTTGGTACACAGGATCACATTAGGGAGGGGTATCTGCAGTTAAAATTTTTTTTTAAAAAGTGGGCGTGGTCCCGCCTCTAAAAGATAGGAATCAAATGTTTTTAGCACTTCTATTGATGGTGTGAAAATAGTTGAAATCGGGTGGCAACTCCGCCCACTCCCCATATAACGGTACTGTTAAAAACTACTAAAAGCGCGATAAATCAAGCACTAAACACGCCAGAGACATTAAATTTTATCTCTGAGATGGTATAAATTGGCATTATAGGAACCGCGTTCAAAATTAGTCAGTGGGCGTGGCACAGCCCACTTTTAGGTGAAAACCCATATCTTGAGATCTGCTCAACCGATTTCAACCAAATTCGGTGCATAACGTTCTTCTCATGTTTCTATGTCATAGTGCGAAAATGGGCGAAATCGGACTACAACCACGCTTACTTCCCATGTAACACCATTTTCAATTCCATCTGATTCTTTCACTTTCCACTATGCAAATCAGGTAACAATGATTATATCGGGGTAAAACTTTGCGTGAATAATGCAATTAAAGTATGCCACCTTGCGGCCAAAAATTGTCTAAATCGAACCAAAACTGTTCAAACCCCTAAGTACTAAATATGTGAACCCCAGTGCCTATAGTTGACCTTCTACCGAAAATATCAGTCAATCCACAAAGAAATCTCAAACGAGTATACCATTTGACTTTGCGAGAGTATAAAATGTTCGGTTACATCCGAACTTAGCCCTTCCTTACTTGTTTTCAATTACTTTTTTAAATCTTGAACGCGAGCACGTTAGCTCAATACAATAACAAGAATAACAGCCAACATTCGAACACTAAATATGCAAAGTCTGTGAAGTCTGAACATAATCGAAATCAAACCACAATATCGATATTATTTGTTCGTTGAACGAACCAGTAGATGGCGTTGTGAGCAAAAAGACGGAAAAAATATTTGATAGCAGTAAGAGCAAAGAGCTCGTGCCTTCTCCTCTTTTTTCCTATAAAAAAAACGTAGGCATGAAATTATCGTACAATCTGCGTACGATAATGATATCATATCGTACATCGTACGTAGGCATAAAATTATTGCATATGTACGATAATTATCGTACGGTTGAGAACACTGCTCTGAATTCATATGAACAAGTCTTTTCACAATTTGAGCGAAATCCGGAATATGTCGACCAGAAAATTTTTGTTCATGATATGGTTAAAATTTAAACTAAAATTATCATTAAATAATGGTTTTTATAATTTGTATTTTATGAGAAGGTAATATGGTAATAGATCCCATTGCAAGGTTTCTCAAATTTGTTTGATGAGTGAAAAGTTTTTTATGTTCAACACGTTTATACACCTTTCAGATTATAATGTTTCTAATAAAGCATTTATTATTTTTTACAGCTTTCAATTCCGACATTATTAGTCTTAGGCTTACTACACGCAATATAAAATTGGACCTATAATTTCCTTCTGAAATTTTCTAAAAAAAGCATTATAAGCCAACATAATTAACCTCATTATTGAAAGGTGCACTCCATTTCATGGTGTAGTGTAATTTTGACCGCGCAACACAATGGCTGAAGCCGAAGGTGGTTCCGAGCAGGATGATGTTTCGTTCCTGCGAACGGTAAGAATACGAAAAATGAATAACAATGGAGAAATATTCCTAAAAACTTTATGTATAAAAACATATTTTAAACAAAACCACCATAAAATGTAAATTTTTGTTTTAATAATATAATATTTAAGTTCCTAACCAGTAAATGAATTATAAACCAGTTAGCTAACATTTAATTTTATAAATGAGGTAAGTATGGGTCTCTATTTTTAACAATAATATTTATTATTTTGAATTAAAAAGATTTTCGAATTTAATTGAACTCAGCACTAACAGATGCTCAATATTCCTGATTAACGTATCTGTAGCTAATAAAAATACATTCTATGGTTTTATCACACATCTGCTTGCGACGAATTATGTAGTAGAGCCAGTTACTATAATTATTTATATTATTAGTAGTAATTATTTTGTGCGACGGCGAAAATACTCTCAATTAATTACTTTAAATAAATGATGGATGATATGGTATTTCAATTACATTACATTTTTATTTCTAACGATTATTTGAACGAAATTGTAATTTTTTTGAAACTGAAAAATTTTTTGTCTTCGAAATATCATCAAGAAAACTTATGTTTAGTGTTAATTTAATATTTCTCTTGGGAAAATTTTAGTATAACGTCCCAGGGTTCCTGGGACAAAATGGATAACACTTCCCTAATTCGTTTGTACATATTTGTTTCCCATTATATAGTGCAAAAATTGCTTTTATTCAATATTTAACTTGTTCTATTCATTTACACAATAAAAAAAAGGTTGCATACTGACAAACAATAATATTTTACAATTATACAAAAGAAAATCTGATTCAAAAAATCTCTCCAAGAATGAGCTCTTTATTGTAACGGGAATGTAATCTACCTTACAGTTTTTGATTTTTTTCTTATTTATTTGTCTGGTTTATATATATATATAAGCATACTGCGATTTCGATTCGGCCGTACAGAGTTCCGTTTATAGTCAAAGCCAAAAACTTAACCGAGTTTCTACCAGCACGTTGTTCGTCGGAAAACTACTAATAATTAACAATTTCTAGGCTTAATGGAATGACATATTTAATATGTACAATACAGGATAGTGGACAGATTTTTTCGAAAGAACACAAGCGTCATGTCCTATCTCAATACGGCGGCAATATTAGAGAAGTTATATGTCTACTGTGCAATGGTGGACACTACATTTTGGATTGTGGATCATTCAAGTGGTTAATGGTTGATTTACATAGAACTTTTTACGCTTTGCTTGTCAGGTAATACTTTGACATCGAAGCGAAGCAAATATATAAAAACTCTCCTTGCTTCGCTGTTATATTATATTTAATATTTCATGTTTTTTTATCTTAAGGAAATAGTCGAAATAAAACTAAGAAGTAATAAAAGTAGCGACAGCTGTTTATCAAAGCATAAAAAAATAAAAATTGCCCAACATTTGGCTACGTCTAGAAAATATTTTATGTCAGCGTACCCAAGCAAAAGCATACATTGAACATATCTGTCAAAGCAAAAGGCTGAAGCAAAGCGAAGCTATAATTGTATGTGAACCAATCGTAAGCGTTCAAAACAGATAATAGGCGTAAACTGATACGTTTGGGTCATATTTTCCCTGCCTTCATAGTGGCCATAGATTAGTTATCTGCTAACTATCAGAAAGAACAAAAAAAATGCGAAAATTGACAATTTATTTTCCCAAAGAGCCAAATAACAAAAAAGTAAAGCAACGGAAAACTAGCAAAAAAATAGCAAGAAAAAATGAAAATCTAGGAAGCTGTTAGGTATTCAGTATTTGATCCAACCGAGGTTTCGTTCAAAATTATTGTCAAGGAGAAATTACTTGTGCTCGAATCGTGTTGTAACGATCTGCGGTGGAATGAGGAATATCATCATCAAAGAAGATTCAATTATTGTCAAAAGTCGCGCATTGTGAATTGATTTTAAACCCGTTCTGAGTTGAATTAGATTCGTGACACATCGTATACCAGACCTAATAATAAGACTCTCTTTTTATTTATATATTTATTTTAGTATTATTAATTATTTTTCTCTTGTAATTTATTAATAATTGTATATTATACAATTTATCATTTTCAGGAAGATATGGTGTGTCTCTCATGTACCGCCACTGGTGAACGCGTCTGTTTAGCAGCTGAAGGATTTGGTAATCGCCATTGTTTTTTAGAAAATATAGCGGACAAAAATATTCCGCCAGATCTATCCCAATGCGTTTTCGTAATTGAGCAGGCACTATCAGTTCGAGCATTGCAAGAATTAGTAACTGCGTCTGGATCGGAAACTGTGAGTTTTGAAAACTTATTCTATTATTGTATGTATCTATAAAATTAAATTGATCATATAATAATTGTAACCAGTAAAATTGGACATGTTATGCAAGTATAGTATAAAGTTTAAAAATTATTTCTAAAAATATGTATATGTACATACTAAAGACTACGGAGTTGTATGAAAGTCGCCCTGAACAATTATTTTTATAATAATTGTAACATTTAATCGTACATTTTATGGTATACTCTCGTAAAGATCAAAGGCGGGAATTTATAATAATAAACCCAACATTACCCTCCTCCCGCCCAACCGACGCGAGGGGCGCAATCCGCATACGTGCGGAATTAGCCGAGTCAAAAAAGGCAAGCGAGTTTTTTAAGTGTTGAGATCTAAGACTGCTCAGCTACAGAAACAAAAATTTCAACAGCTAAGATTAAAGTTATTACAGTTACAATATAATAAAGTGTTACATTTTCATTTATTAAGAGAAAACAATATAGTCTTTTTAATTTTGAAAAGTGAGTCAGATAAGTCAAATGTGCTGGAATGAGAATTAAAATCATGACATATACGGCTTAATGGCTCGTTTAGTTCAAAATTTGATCTACAGGATTTTAACAGTAAAGGTCTAAACTGCCTCGAAAGGCGAACCGGGATATTAAATTTAATTTCAGACAGTAGAAAAGAACTGCAAACAGTTCCATTCAAAAGTTTCACTAAGAATATTATGCCAAGCATTTCCCTACGACTGGAAAGTGTAGGTAGATTAATAAGTTTTAAACGACTAGTGTATGGAGGTAGACTTACCCTAGCATCACATCGGAAATGCGCTAAGGCCAAAAGTAAAAATTGGTTTTGAACCGACTCTAACTTGTCAGAATGGATTTGGTAGCTAGGGTTCCATACCACAGAGCCATATTCCAATATAGGTCTAACCAAAGTTGTATAAAGTTTTTTAGTAATATACGGATCTCTAAATTCTTTAGACCAACGTTTAACAAAACTGAGGACAGCTTCTGCTTTCAAGACCATGGTATCAATATGAAGACTGAAATTAAGCTTAGGGTCAATATTAACTCCCAAATCAACATAGTTAAAAACTTGCTCTAGAATATGGTGTTTTATTACATAAGAAGAGGGGTGCACAGATCTACGGGAAAAGCACATCGTCTTACATTTATTGAGATCCAATGGCAAATCATTTCTATCACACCATGCAACCAAATTGTTTAAGTCTGTTTGCAACAGACACCTTTCCTCAGTTGAAGTGTATGATTTAAAAAGCTTTACGTCGTCAGCGTATAATAAAATTTTTGAGAATTCTATTACTGAAGAGATATCGTTAATAAACAACAAGAACAGAATCGGGCCAAGATGACTACCTTGCGAAACACCTGAAGAAACATTAATTGTATCTGAAGGTGTATCCTCAAATATCACTCGTTGTGTTCTATTATAAAGATAGGAAGATACCCATTGAAGGAATCTTGGCTGAGAGCCCAGCAGATCAAGTTTATGTATGAGAATCGAGATATTTACTTTTTCGAAAGCTTTGCTTAAGTCTGTGTATATAACATCCGTATGCTTATGTTCCCTAAAACCCAATGATAAATGGTTTACAAATTCAAGTAAGTTTGTTATAGTCGAATTCCCTTTACGAAATCCATGCTGAGATGAGGAAATTAACGGAGAAATCGAAAAGGTTATATGGTCAGTGATGATGCTTCAAAAAGTTTAGGAATTATAAATGACTGTTTCCATATTGAAGGAAATATACCGTGTTTAAGAGAGGAATTAAATATCCTTGTCAAGGGCAAGTAAATATTTTTGGCACTATTTTTTAGGAAGCATGAGGGTACCATGTCTGGGCCGTAATTAAAAGATGGTTTTAACTTATTTAATTTAAGTAGGACGTCTTCTTCAGAAATAATTGGAGCGTTAATTAAAGTATTCGAACACAGCACGTGCTGATAAGAAAAAGTTTTGGAAGAATTATTACAGTAGTTACTTGAAAAATTCTCCAAAAATATTGGATATAATAACATTGTCAGTTGAAATGATAAATTTGTATTTCATCCTGCGTTTAGAATTGACGAAATCATAAAACGATTTTGGATTACTTACGACTTCCTTTTTACTTTATTTAAGTAATTATTATAACATTTTTTGTTTAGGTCAAAATATTGTCGACGCAATACGGAATATTTAGAATAGTTGACAAGTGAACCGGTTTTTTCAAAATGTTTAAATGCTCGAGTTTTTCTTTTTTTCAATTTATATAACTCTTTCGACGACCACGGACTTTTACTTTTATTAACAATTACTATTGGAACATACTTTTCAAATAATTTCATAATAATGTTATTAAAATGAGAGGCACTCAATTCAATGTCACCATTATAATTAGGCCATGTTATTGTAGAAAGTTCTGTATTTAACTTTTTAAAATTAGCTTTTGCAAAGTTAAACCGAGTCCAGAAGCACGAAGTTTGATCTATCGTATTTAATGTATTTGATCATCACACGGTAAATTGAAATCACCTAATACAATTATTGAATCTGCATTATTTGCCATCGAGGTAGCACTATTTATTAAAAAGCATGCTGCATGTATACAGATAAGTCCGAATGGGGTGGTATATAAGATAGGGTTAAATAAATAAAGCAACTATTAACGTATACTCTAATACATTTAAATTCAAATGAGTTGGTCCCTGGAACAATAATATTTTCAGATGGGATAGAGGAATGCACGGCAAATAGAACACCTCCACCGATTCTGTTCAGTCGATCACATCTAAAAATTTGAAATTCGCTGTTTAAAATCTCATTATCAAAAATGTGAGGTTTTAACCAAGTTTCTGTAAATCCAATAATATGGAACTTAAAATTGGAACTGTTCAAATACAAGTCGGTTAATTTTGTATTAAGACCTCTAACATTTTGATAATAAATGCTTAGCGAATTTCTACCAATCAGTTTTTTATATCGGTGGTTGCTTTTGGTAATTTAACAATGTTTTCCTCAGTTTGACTTCTAAGTTTAGGTTTAAATTCGCGTACAAAAGCCCCAGGTGGCCAGAATGAACTATCTAAGATCTTTTTGAATGTTTCAAGAGATACGTCTATTTTAAACGATGATATACTTCTATCATATTTGAAGTTAAATTTACGGATATTGATATCATCGATTTTTAAACGTGACGAAATGTAAGATTTAATGTCCTTCACCAAGGTATCTTTGGCAAGTCTCGAAATAAATATAGACATTTTAGGTGGAATAACTATCAAATTATTAACTGATGTTACTATGTTATTAGGGGGAGCCTCTGGAATTGTGAGACACTTATTACTATTAGATAGAGCTTTAGGGGAATTGAGCTCTTTGGAAGTTGACGGCTTATCACCTTGAGGGCAAGGAGAAGAGAGATTTATTAGGTCATTGGGAGGAGACGTTCTTTTCTGTACAGAAGAACTAAGTGTTACTTCATCGACAGGACGTTTACGCTTAGGAGCAGTTTTAGAGGATTCGTGAGAATCATTCAGGCACTTAAAAGATTTGAACAATTTTTCATAGTGCTTAAATTTTTCAATGAGGGTTACAAGATCACGACCGATCTCGTTAAAGCCATTGCCTGTCTCCCTATAAACTTTAAATAGATCGATTTCAATAGATCTACAATTTAAACAGGACCAACGCAATCCCTTACAGTCGAGAATAGAATCTAAGATTCTACCAGTCAGTCCAGCGCATTTAATATGGGTAGTAAGTAGAACAAAATTTAATAGATATATAATAGTGTCTTAACAAAATATTAATAATAATAAATTCAATTAAGAATAAACGCAAAAATAATAGCAATTTTTTTTAATTTTTTTTTTTTTTTTATTAAAGTTTAAAACCAGTTTGACAGTTAGAAAAAGCAATATAGCGAGCAGTTTTAGAAGCACTGTAACAAATAAAAAGCTAAACGCAACACAGCTGTGAATAAAGACATAAATGAAGATAAATAAAGAAAGACAATAGAATGAAATAAAACAAAATGAAACGAAAAGCTGACTCGGCACCAAAAATTAGAAAGTTTAAACTTTTTAATGCTGCACAAAACTGAAGAACATTTAATACTTATCTTGCAGCTCTGAGTTAAAAATCACTAAATATTGAACTAAATCACTAAAAAATCAATTAAAGTTTAAGAAATTTTGCAAAATTAGACACAATAGTTCAGAGCAAAAAAAGAACAACTTTACAGCTTGAAGTGTTGCCAATCACTGACTGATTACTTTCAAGTGGTGAACAACTTCATATTAGCTTATGATGGTCAAATAAAACACGCTTTTATTAATTTATATTACTGACCAAAGTCTAGACCAATTTCAGTCATATTCAGTGCTAAACTACATTGTTTTTTAGAGAAATTGTTTACTTATTTTCATTAAAATAACCCCACATATTAACCGACATAAACGCTTTAAGGTCAGATGGAAAAACAAAATGAATGAAAATCCCTATGTTATATCTCGTATAGGGTTTTTGGGTTAGAAGACGATCCAGACCATTAAATTTTGACATAAGCCAAGTATATTCAGGAACATGTTTTCGTTTCAGAAGATAACTCACACATTAACTGACACTCGTTTAATTGAGCAATTTGTTCAATCACAATCAATTAAAAAAATTCATATGTGCACTTTAAGTTTATATTTAGTAGTGATATTTAATTACTATAACTAAACTTTAACGGAAAAAATATAAGAAACAAAAACAAGATAATATTTAGATCCTCAACATCAGCACCATCCAAAATAGTATCTCCACCAATAAACATATTGTATGTTTTCAATTGCTGATGCTACAGATTATTCTTTAACGAAAGTGTTTTGTTCAATTAACAGGGGGTATATTAAAGGTATATTTTTTCCAATAACACATTTTTTAAACTATTTTTGCGAGGAAACCAATTAACCGGGTTCAACTAAGCGGGATAATTTGTGCGTATTTTGTATGCAACA